TATCTGATCCATTGATTCGGTTAAAAAATAACAGGTATTTATAATAAAAATACCTAATTTTCTGGGTCGAGTACCCGGCACATTATTTCTTCTGAGTTTCCAGGCCGAGTCCGAATAACAAATTATCTTTTAATTGGGTGCCCTCCGATCCAGTACCATGTTTATTATATATATTTTTTATTTTTATTTTATATTAGATTTTTTTATTCCTAATTCTCAAATTATTTTACTCTAATATTTTAAATTTCTAATTTCTTAAATCATTTCACTGTAACATTCTAAATTATTACTATTTAATTATTTCACCATAATAATCTAAATTATTTCTTTTAACTTCAAAATGTTTAAAATTTAATTATATTTTTAATAAGTTTTATCTTTTAATTATATAATTTAAATTTTTAAATTTTATGAGTATATTAGTATTATAGACATTTAAATTTTAGAATTTTTTATGTAATTTTTAAAAAATATATATAATTTAAAGAGAAAAAAAATATGAACTAGATCCTTAAACCGAAAATATGGGTACCCGGTTTACGGGTATTCAAACTTAATGGGTCGGGACACATGTCAGCATTTCAATACCCAAAAATTATGTATCCGGTATGTTGAGTACCCTAGAAATACAGATACCTGGTTTTCAACACACCTAATTGTGAGCAACATATTATTACGATAGATAATAACTGAAAGCATACGTCAGAATGAGTAACCAAGTAATAAAGGAATGCGTAGAATTGAAAGGATGGGAGAATTGTCACACCCCAATTTAGGGGCTATATTTTTAGAAATTATAAAGTAAGAAATTTAAGTGAAATTTTGAAAGAAATTGGGGATTAAATTGTAAAATCGTAAAGTTGGCAGACCATTTTAAGAAGTGAAGAAAATTTAGGGACCCAGTCTCGAAATTACCCATTTTTCTTATGTGTTGAATTATAAACCCCTCCACGTATGTTTTCTGTAGATGTTTTCCTCATTTTTCTCTTACCGGTCAACTACTTTGAGCTCCGAACTATTCACCGTCCGATCACCGTTCGATGATCCGAAATCACCATCGTGTTCTTTGTCGACCGAAGAACAAAACCCTTCAAAGCTCTAGTCGTGAATCAGCGTCGTTCATCGTAAATTTCAATCGAAAATATCATCGGTTTTAACTCAATCTACATTGGTTTTCCGTCGATTCACGTCGATCCAGCCACCCGTTTTCGACACCTCCTACACCATTGTGTTCCTTGCATCGTTCCGAGTCCACCGGTGACCTTTGCGCCTCCGTCGTCGCTGGCGCGTGAAGGAGTGAGGAAGTCAAAGTTTTCGATGTTTCGGAATCGAGCTCTCCACCGTTCAAAATTGTGAACCGGGCTTGGTAAGTGTCTCAAAATGCCATAAAATATTTTTTGAAATTTTTCGGACACCGTAGCACTGTTCATGCGCCCCCCAGCGCCGGCCTTGCGCGTGGGGAGGTTCGAAAACAATTGGGGGCAGTTGACCCGACTCGATCCGTTTACTGTTGACCATTGACTTTGACAAAAAGTTAAATTCAAAGTTTTCGATGTTTCGGAATCGAGCTCTCCACCGTTCAAAATTGTGAACCGAGCTTGGTAAGTGTCTCAAAATGCCATAAAATATTTTTTTGAAATTTTTCAGACACCATATCACTGTTCATGCCCCCAGCGCCGCCCTTGCGCGTGGGGAGGTTCGAAAACAATTGGGGGCAGTTGACCCGGTTTGACCCGACTCTACCCGTTTACTGTTGACCGTTGACTTTGACAAAAAGTTAAATTTTTTAAAAGTCATATTTCATGTTTTTCGACGTCTTGGGTCCAATTCTGAAGTCCATTTTTCCAAATTTTGAAGTATGTTTTCCAAATTCGAACCCGAAAGCCTCGATATTGTCAGTCAAACCCATTGACTTTGACCAAAAAATCAAAATTTTCGAAAAGTCATGTTTTTTTTTGACGTCCTAAATCCAAAGTCTGTTTCGTCAAATTCGAACCCAGTAAGCTGTTTTCACTTATATATCTCCCGATTCGACCCGCTTTACGCAATTAAGCTCTGTTTTAATGAAATTTCTGTTGAAATGTATCCAAGGAATTATTGGAAGTTGATTTCAAGATCGAGGACGTTCGAATAGAGTTTAAATGATCGATCAGTATGGCACAAAAATCGAGGTAATACATTACTACCTCTTTATGCTTTATAGAACATGTTGAAAATAGAAAAATGCATGGATTTATATGATTGAACTATTATGCATGTTTGTTTATGGATGGACTGGAACTGAATACGGTTTAAGTGATAAATTATGAGAATACTTCGATTAGGTAAAATTACTAAAATACCCTTATATTGTAAAAAGACATGAATTGACTTTGGAAGTTGGATAAGAAGTTTGTAAAGACATATTGATCTGATGAAACTACTGATGTGTATGGAAAATACTAGTTTTGCTTAGAAAATTTGGATAACCGATTTCTAAACCCAAGATGGCTTGTACAAGATACTAGAAGTTGATAAGGAATAATTTAAAGTTTAGGATTATCCGGGAAAGCGATTAACTCTAGAATCTCTAAATTATAATTATCTTTGTTAAGAGTTTTAATACTGAAATTATATGGTTAGAAAATTACAAAATTACCTTTGAGAGGAACAAATAGCCCGAATTGACCCTGAATGAAAAAAGTACTCAAGAAGTCATGCCTAAATCGATGAATTACTAGTTTCATCATTAAGTTCACAAGTTTATACAAAAAATTCCTGATAATCCATAAATCTCCGAGTTATGAGTAAATATTTGAGGAATAATTTATCGAGGATGCTCTTTTGACATAATTGTTCGAAAGGACTGAAGTAAATGATAAATTTGAATTAAATAATAAGACCGGACGAAAGGAAATGATTGAAATACCCTTGATCTAAAAAATGACCAAAATGCCCTTATGGCCTAGACTAAGTAAATGTCTCGAATTAATTAAGAAATCAAAATAAACATGGGTGTTGTACTACCCTTAAAAGCAATGGAACTCAACTTAAGTGAGTTGACCAACGCTAATGCTATGTCAGTACCTGAATAACATAGATACCACTCGAATCCTGGTTCGTCTCCTCAAGTTTGGATCGATGACAATTCTGAAAGTACTCAGCTCAGCTCAACTCTAGATCGCATTCGGTACTAAGAAGTAGATATTCATTAGACAAATCAATTACGAATATCAAATTGAACTGAACGAAAGTATAATATGTATCGAAATTTAGAAACGTCCGAATTACTCTGGAAAACTCTGAAGTAACCAGTATAGACTTGACTACTAAGTGATCTAAGTAAGCTCAATGACTGAGGATTAAATAAGTGATTTGGATGAGTCTCGGAATGCTAATGAACTTACATGATGTACTGTCATTCTGGGTCATGAACTACAAACCAAGCACATCAGCATTTCATGATATTGTGGAAGCGTGGAAATGAAATAAAGACATTGGAAGATCTATTCAACGATGATTTCGAAGATGATCTATGGACAAGAATTTGTGGTATTTAAGAGTAAATACCCTGGAAGGACAATGAATTGACCAGTCGATAATCATTAGTTCTGGGAACTATTCATCTAAGAGTTGTTCGATAATCCGATTAATTGAAAAAGATTGTAAAGGTTCTTAATCTTCGTTTTTCCATATCAGCTCAAATCACTCTGGTCATATCTGAAAACACAAGTAACTCCGATGTAAATGATTCTGAATACCCTTTTGATTACTTAGAGCTTTCGAAAAATGTCTGAATAAGATGATCCTGATAAATCACATTCTAAATAATGAATGATTCCGTCAGTTAATAAACTCTTCCAATAGTGATTCTAACTTCCGACATTCTATCGGTAAACTGAATATCCGTGTTTCTCCGCCCGATAAGATTATCCAATATATTTGAATAATATATGGAAACTGTAGTGTGTTCCCTACTCACATGAATATTTTATCTGATTTCCGATTTGAATTATGTTCTGACATCTAATCTGAAATCTGTTCTGATTCCTGACCTGGATTATACTCTGATATCTGATCTGAATTATGTTTTGTTTTCTGATATCTCCGTTTATTGACGGTAAATGTTTTATTTGGGGTATTGTTGGAGGAAGTATATCTGCAGGTTCTTCGGCTTTGTGCTCAGGGCCTTATTGTTGTGCAGGGGGTGTATGGTTCTGGGGAACCTACACAATATAATGTGTTCGGTTGGAGATATTACTATGGTTTTTGATAAATAAAAATATGTTTTAAAAAAAATATGTATCTTTTCACTGGTTTAGAGGGAACACACTAGATAACCTATTTTGATCTCATGAACCTAGACATCCGAAATATTTTCATCTGAACTGAATACTATTTGTTACTACCTGAGATATCAATGGGACCTCAGCTCAGCCTAAAAATCTGTAGATATCTGAACCAATAAGGAAATATATGTTTATCTGTATATGCACGTTCTTCAGCATCATCTGGTAGTTTTGTATTACTGAGCTTTCCGAAGCTCACTTTGTTACTCACCATTGCAGGTTAAAAGAATTGAACCAGTGCAGCTATCGACTTCAGTAAGGGATTTCTTCCGGCGTTGTTTGTAGAGTATGGTACATGTGATTAGGGGGCATGTAATTGTATTTTGTTTTATATATGAGTATGCAAATATGTTTTATTTATGCATACTGATAAATCATTTTATAAGTTACATGTTTTAATAAAAAATTTAAATTTTCCGCTATTTTTACAGTAGGTCGCTCCGGTGGCCTTAACGTGACTTCCCGGATCGGATCGGGTTACTATCGATCTGAGTGGGTTACATGACTGTAGTTGGAACGGTAGCTGCATATGTAATCAACAGTAGAGGAGAGCAGTCACTTTCTCTTGAGATTTCTGCGGATACAAAACCCTGCACGTCGCCATTGTAATAAACCCTTTTCTTCCCCGAACACTTTGGAAACTATAAATAAACTGGGAAATATAAACTAAAATCTTTAACAACGAAAGTAATTCCCATGGAAGGTCCGTCTGTAGGTGTTAGAAAAGGTGCATGGACTGAAAAAGAAGACACTCTTCTTAAGAAATGCATTGAGGAATGTGGAGAAGGAAAATGGCATCTAGTGCCTTCCAGAGCAGGTAAACTCATCCAGGATTATTATTTTGTGATTCAAAAGTTGATTTGGTTTTGGTGATGAGAATGAACTACAAAGTGTTTAATTGCAGGCTTGAATCGTTGCCGGAAAAGCTGTAGACTGAGGTGGTTGAATTATCTGAAACCTAATATCAAGAGAGGAGTTTTTGCAGCTGATGAAGTTGACCTCATCATTCGCCTCCATAAACTCCTAGGTAACAGGTAAGTATTTCATTCTGTGTTGATGATTATATTTATATATATTATTTAGATATATATATATATACTTAAATTTACATGTTCCTTAAAGTTATAATAATAATAATGTTTTATCAAATTTTAAAGTTTTATTTTTCATTAGTGATGAGTTGAAAAGTGTTTTGAATCTAAAGAGTGGTCCCAATTGCAGAAGGTAATGTATTTTCTTTATAATAACGACTTTAGAAAAATTTAATATATCTATTCAACGGTGGTAAATTTAAAAGAAATTATCGGTTGAATCAATATAAATATAATAAAAAAAAATTATCTAACATAATATATATATATATAAGTCAAATTTAAAAATAAATCAACCGGACTAATATATATTTTTTAACCTAATTTTCTGGTCACAAAAAATCAACCCGTGTCCTGACCCGTAAGAGGTGGGCACCGGCAAGTCAGGTACCCGTAAAATTCGGGTTCCCACATTTTCGGGTCAATAATACTGGTTAATATTTATTTTATTTTTTAAAATTTATATATTTTTTAAAAAAATACATAAAAAACACAAAATTTACAACTTAAAAGTTTATACATAATAAAAACATAAAATCTATAAATCCAAATTATATAATTTAAAAATAAAAAATAAAATAAATTACAGCTAAATTTAAAATATTTTGTGATTAAAAGAAGTAATTTGAGAAATAATTTAAATGTTGAGATGAAATAATGTTAAAAAAACGGGCCGGATACCCAATCCACGAAATAAAGTATTTACCTCCAAAATACACAGCAATTTTATATCGGGTTGACGAATGAAGTACTTTGAATTGGATACTTTTCAACACCCCTACCAGATGCGACCTTGCCTGTCTAGATAATTTTACTTTGAATGATAATATTTATAAAATATATATAAATAAAATCAAGGAAAATATATAAATTAGGGTAAAGTACACAAAATAGTCCCCTAACTATTAAGTGATATTTTGTTGAGTCCATCGATTATTAAAAGTTATAAAATGGTCCTCTGTGTGTTGCTTTGTTGAGTCCCTCGACTATTAAAAGTTACAAAATGGCCACCCGACTATTTAGTAGGTTTTAAACTCGTCATTTTCCATTAAAAATTGACAGTATTCTGAGCTAGATATTAACCCGCTAACTGAGATATGATAAATTCTAATTTCATAATCTAAAAAACTATCATATATCAATCAATAGATTAACATCAAGCTCAGGCTATTGTAAAAGAATTAACAAAAAATGGCGAGTTTGGAACATACTAAACAGTTTGGTGACCATTTTATAAAAAAATATCATCCTATAATCGGGAGACTATTTGTGTACTTTACCCTATAACCTACTGTAAAACTATTGAATAATTAAAAAATATTTTGATAATGACCTACTTTTTCCAAAATCAAGAAGTCATTTTTAACTTTAAAAATCTTTCGTTCTCCGTTTCTTTTAGTATCAAGATTCAACGAAGATGATTTCTTTTTTCTAACAAAACACAATAATTATTATCATATTAACGATTTATAAGAGAAGTTATTTATAAGTTGAATTCTTGGGACATAAGTTTAAATCATATAAACAGTGACAGAAGTGAAGATACTACAGCGTCACTTGAATTTCCTCCCTACTTTTTTAGCTTTATTTATTAACATATAGCGACATATGATTAGGTTATGTTTGGTTTTCCAGGGAACCAAAACTCCGAGAATGCGACGTTTTCGTTTTAAAGTCATTAAGTTTATTGTACATAAATTATTATTTTTTAATTATATCAATTTGAAAACCCATATACCACTTAATCCCCTTATATCATTTTAATATAAAAATGCCTCTTAACAAGCATTTATAAATAAAATTTTGCGTTATAATTACAAAAAATATACTTTAATAAAGTTATTATCATAATTAATTATTATAATAAAAATATATACCACCATAATAATTCAAATATACTTAGAGATAAACTAAAATAAATCTCAAAGAAACTCAAATATAATAAAATAAAAATAAATAAATAAGTTAGACGTGAAAAATAAATATATTTAGGATTATAAAGGATGGTATAAAGAAAAATGAATTGAAAGAACAAAAGCAATCACACGTGAATTGAGAACAGCAATTAGCCACATGACCTGATATGGAAATTTCTAAACTAGGAATTTTAAGAAAGCTCAAATTACATCAAATACCTAATTCCCTAAATAATTATTCTTTTTTAAATTAATTCATAATATTTTAATTTCTTCCTTAAATTCATTTTCTCCCATTCTAAATTGATCCAAACTTTTAAACATTCCAAATTTACCTCCAAGCTATGAACCCTCATTCTAAATTTATTCCTAAACTTTTGATTATTCCAATTTCATCACAAGTTTTTAACGATTTTGGGGGACTTTATTGGAACATTCAAAATTTTTGGAACCAATTTTGAATGAGGGTCAGGATGAATTTGGAATGTTCAAAAGTTTGGGATCAATTTAGAATGAGAGCCATAATATAGTGATGAATTTGAAATATTCAATAGTTAGGGGATCAATTTAGAATGAGAGACATAATTTAAGGATGTGAAGTGCAATTAAATCAATTACACAAAATATTATAAAATTGAACTTTTTTTTCAATTTTTTAACATTTTGAATTATACAAATTTGAGCGGTATTTTGTGTAATTTCAAAACTTAGTATAATATTTTTTTTAGTATGGAATGATTACAAGGTGATATATATTCAAAAGACTCTTAATCATCTGACAATGAACGTTCAAACATCATTACATATGACGTGATCGAATCTAAGATAACTAGGGATAACAACAATCATTTAATCACTGAAGTTGTTGATTCATATCAAATAAGATTTTTATAATTAGATAAAATTTTATAAAATTACATAAAATATTATCAAAGTTATAACAATCTATGTAATCTAATAACCTTTTACATATTTTCCTTAAATTTATCTTTTTCTAAATTTCCCACCCTAGAAATATTCCATATTTCCGGAAAGCAAAAAGAAAACAACAATAAAATAGAGAAAAACTTTTACATGCATTTTTATTTAATATATTAATTTTACCTTCAATACTATAATTTTCTTAACTCCAAAATATCTACTCCCATCTAATATAATCTAACTGTTACAAACCTTGACAAAGACTTGAGGGTCAACTCAACACTTGGATGCATAAAACAGAAACACAGTTAATACTTGTCACCCACACAGCCACACTTGTTTCATTGCGATTGCGAGTAATTAAAAATTTTTATATTATCAAATTATTAGATAGAATAGATGGTTATCTTTATTTTAGAAATAACAATACTTTTCTGTACTACTAAATTCGTTCAAAAAATTTTGAATCGACTAAATGTTACAAATATGTCACCATAACCATTAAATAATAGTAGTATTTTAATTATTAAATATATAATATATAGTATTTATTATTATTGAGAACCATGAACTGACTATATATTTAAAGCGTTTATCGCTATTACTTATAATTGCAATACAATATATGTCTTATCTTACACTCAATACTTGATGGTTGAGATAATAAATTAGTGATAGTGATACATTTATTTATCTTATAGATTTTTAAGGGATACATATAATTGTTTCAACCCTATTTGTACATTTTTCTCAATTTTCATGGATATTGTACTAAATATTAAAGTTTTATAAAAATTGAACAAAAAATATTAGGAAAATAAAGTTAGTTGTTTTTTCTATTTTTTAATATCTAATTATTTGGTCAAATTATAATTTCATTGTGCTAAATTTGAGATTGAGTCCGTATATTTTAATTTTGTTTAACATTATTTGATTAAGATATTATAATTAATATTACGTATTAGTATAAAGTTTTAATGTATGATTTTATTATTATTATGGCAGGTGGTCATTGATTGCTGGTAGAATACCCGGAAGAACAGCAAACGATGTGAAAAACTACTGGAATACCCACCTGCGGAAAAAAAAGGTGGATCCTTCCTTCAACCTAAACCCTCTTCTAAATCCATCGAATCCGCAATCCAAAGTCATCAAACCTCGCCCTCAGCTCTTATCAAAGAACAGTTTCCCAATATGCTCGGATGGAAACATGAAAATCAACACGGCGGCAGCAGCAGCAAGCAACAATTTAGCATCAGCCGACAGCAGTGGCTATTGTTTCCCTAATGAGAATGAGGAGATCATGTTGTGGAAACATCTGACGATGAATGAGAACGAGATCATGTTGTGGAAAAATGTGACGATGAATGAAAATGAGGTCGATTATCATCAGCAGCAAGGTTCGCTCGATACTATGGATCTAAGTGTGCTGGGAGAGCAGCCTATGAATGAAGAATTGGAGGTGGTTGAGGAAGACCCTTATGGTAGTTTGGATGAATTTTATCTCGATGTTGAACTCTGGAATGTGTTCAACCCATAGCCAGAAATATAGCGTTTGTATTTGTTTGTATCTTGAGGTAGATGATGCATGCCGAATATCACTACTTACGGTAGTGAGAATGATGGTTCATGTAATGACTTGCGAGAGTGATCCGATCACTGTCTTAAGAAATTCAAGACTTTAATACTTAACAGCGTTATACGCTCAAATTAAAAGACAGGTCTTGTTATTTATAAATTCCCCACTGCGTAGTTGACTCTTTAAAATTTCTTTTGTATTAAACGCACTTTCTTCATTCCTTCAAAAGCTAAGGTCCCCCGTTAACCATAAGTTGTGTGCGTGCCAAAATGCCTTTAGAATGCCATTCTCCACTATTTGTCTGGAGAATTTGCAAGGTTTAGAGCTGCTTACAACTTAATAAGAAAAAAGAGAGCTGAATCCGAGACAATTCATGAACTATATGAACTGATGTTGACCGATGGGAAGCATATTCGGGTAAGGGGATGAGCAATTTGATGGTTGCTTCATCTTCAAGAAAGGAAAAGAAGAAAGTCAAAAGCAAAAAATTATACTTGGACTTCTATTCGACCCAAGGTAAAGAAGAAGAATGCAAAGAAACCAAAGGACAAAGCAAAGCCTAAATGCTTCTTCTATGACAATAAATGATATTTCAATGTCGACTATAGATATTGAATATTTGTGAATAAACTATCTGAAACTTCTCACTTTAATGAGACATATCTTTGATTTCTTTATGTTCGCCTATTTTTGGGAGAAATTTGATTTTACTGACATGTTTATTTCAAGCTTTGGAAGAAAACTATGGATGTCAATGAAATCTATTTCAGTCTTAGAACTTGTAGACTTGTCGGAAGGGATAAAACATACAAAAAGAAAATTTTAGTTACGAGGAAACATCATCATTTCCAGAAATATGAAATTATGATGTAACAAATAAAAGTGAAGACAACTTTTCCGGACGAATATCTTGAAAAAGTTATCTATTAATCTATATGATACAACCCAATAGATACATAACAAAAACTAACGACAAAAAGTTTATTAATTATATACATCTATCTATGGACTTAAGCATACATTCTATTAATGGAACTAAAGATTTGATCCAGCGATTAAAACATTCAATTTTGGCAAAAGCTGACTGTGCTCCATTACTTCGAATCATTATGAATAAATAAAACAAGGAATTGCTTTGTCCTAAACTTTATACATTGAAGAAGTTATACAACATTTTAGAAATGTTTCAATAATCTTTCAAATAAATGAGAAACTTCATGTGTTTTAGTTTCAGAAATCATGAAAAGTTAATGAATGAGGAAAAATAGAAAGAATTTAGATGAACAGAGATAATTTTTTATATGCATTAATAAACATTCTAAAACTAATCTCTAAATTTAAGTTTAATTTTAATATGTATTAATGAAGAAATTAATTTAGAAAATAAGTGTAAATGACATAAAAAAGGATTGACATAGACCTTTTTAATTGATTGGGATCATTGATAATATGTTAGAAAGGATTCATGAAATAATTTCTCCTTTATTATATTTTTAATTTTTATATTGGAAGGCTATCCAAATATAGTAGAATAAAAAATACATACGTATATATATTAGAAGTAAAATGCATATTTACTTGAAGCACTAGGAAAGAGTAAAGCATAATCTCAAGTATCTTCGCACAACTAAGGATAACACGCCATTATATTCTATATTGGACGTAACACGTTTTGGAAATATGGATTCTATCTTTCAAACATGTAAGGTGTAATCTCGAATTTTAATACTCAAAAAATTTATCTGAAATTATTAATCAGAAACTAAAAAATTCACTTGGTTTACTAGTTTATTTTAAATATTCATTAAAATAATAATTAATAATAATAATAATGAAAGATTAAAATAAATTAAAGAAAGGGCTAAAATAGAAAGAAGTGTAAGGATTAAATCGTAAAATGAGAAATTGAAGAAGTTGTGCATATCAAATTCACCAAAAATAATGTAAGTTGAAATTGATGGAAAATGATTTCTTATGTGTCGAGGTTATATTATATAGAAATTGACAATCGATGATTAGTGAGTGTTATATGTTATTAAAAGAAAAAGGAATAAAAAAAAATACTAAAGAACTTTCAAAAAATTATACATAGTTTTAAGAGATATATTTGACAAAAGGAAATGATAAAATTATCTTTAAAAAATGATTGATATATTTGATAGATTGATAGGTTTAAAAGAGTGTGACATATAAAGATTAAAAAATATATAAGTATTGACTTTTTTACTTGACGTTTTGAATGAAATAATTTTAAAATCCAAAACAGACAGATTTAGCGAGGAAATATATCATTACCCAGTCCTTTCTATACTTTACTTTACGAATGAATTATTTTCTCAAAATTTCTTCGTCTCCTTTAAACCCCAAATTGTTATTGATGAAAGCTTCTAAGAACAAGAATGAAAAAACACTGTTAATACAGAATTTATATATTGGATTAAGTTTGTAATTGATTCTTTTATTTTATTTGAAGTTTAAAAGGTTAAAGATTCATTCAAATCAAAAGAAAAAAATAATAATTGACAAATATAAAGAATATCGTAAGATAATATTGGATTAGTAACTCTAATTTTATATTTTATTATATGTTTATATTGTTTTAGTGATTTATTTGAATAAAACTGTTATAAAAACATTATCCAAGTGAGAAAAAAGTTTGAACCTATGAATCCGGTTTGACCAACCAATAAGATGGAAGCGTATGCAAAACTCGTGGTTAGACTTAAGACTTCAAAAAACAACAATTTCTTTTTCCTTTTAACCGATCATTAGAAAAAACCCCAAACATTTTGACTAAAATCAAATTTGTTATCTTCCAATATTCTTTTGAAACATTTTCTTCAAATTTTTAATATAATATAGTAGTAAATATCCAAAACCTGAAGTTTGAAAACTGAAAAATAATAGTAATAATTAAATTTTGATAAAATTCAAATAAAGCTACCAAATATAATTTTTATACGACTTCCAAGCATATTAAAAAAAAGAAATTAAAAAGTGAGCAAGCAAGTAAACAGAGCAACCAACCAATACCGTGTTGAGCTCAGCATTTTGCCAACCAATTTTTTCGTGTCCGCTACTCCACTCCGCACCACACCAATAAATAACAAAAAAAAAAAAAAGGAAAAAGAATTGTGGACCAAATCCAACGGTGCTGAATAATTGAGTTTAACCAATTAGAGAGCACAAAAATGAAATTTAAAATTTCCAAAATTTCACACGAAAGCAACCCAGAAATAAAAAGCTTCACATGTTTGACATGAAACCAGTATCAATAATTTTCATCTCGTTTTCTTTAATTATGGTTTAATAATTAAAAAAAATAGAAATCCCCAAATTAATTTCACAGATTAATAACCAAAAGCAACAAAATATAAAACCTAATTAGCATTTCACACAAATATTTCATTCAGGTTCCTAGACCAATGAAGTTGGCCAAAGTAAACTGAAAAAGAAACCCTAAAAGCTTAACCTGGAATTTTTGGAGACTATTTTCAAGCTTTGGTCATCATCTTCTTGAACTCTTCAAAGTTAACGCTTCCATCGCCATCTTTATCAACTTGACTGATCATTCTCCGGCAATCACTCAACGAGCACTTCTCGCCCAATCTTTTCAACACGGCATGCAACTCGTTCACCGAAATCAATCCATTCTTGTCCAAATCGTACATATCAAACGCATCTTTGAGTTCCTTGTTCGTGCACTGGGAATCGTCTCCATTGACGTTGCTTCCTTGGAAAGCAATGAACTCATCTAGATCGACGTAGCCATTTCCGTCTTTGTCCATCTCCCACATTATCCGATCGACTTCTTCGGAAGAAGGCTTGGAGCCTAAGGCACTGAGTACGGATTTCAGTTCTTCCCGAGAGATTTTGCCGTCGCCGTTTTGGTCGAATTTGTTGAACACTTTCCTCATCTCTTCAAGCGAACCTAAAAAACCCGCCATTGAAGAGATGCAGAAACAGATAAAGAAGTAATGTATATTGGCCGCTTTAACTTTTGGACTGTGATTTCAGAAGGCGTATTTATAGGTCTATTAACGCGGTTTATTGATTCCGCGTGAACAAGGAAGGAAAAGATGGGATGTGGGCAGGTGTACGAAAAAGGAACCACCAAGAAATGACACGTGTTCATTTAGAGCATAAAAATAATTGCTGAGAATGGAAATTTGTGTGACTTGGAAGGAAAGATATTTCTGTTGTAGACCCATGCCACTTAACGCGTTCTTAGACCTCAATATATTTCCAACCTAACCAAAAACAACATATATCTACCATTTCATATCTATATATTTATTTTGTTTTTTTATTAAATTAATGTTATAAATTATTTAGATATTAATTGGATTGTTTTAAGCTAAGTGAACTTATTGTGTATTTTTAATGATAAAATATTATTTTCTTTAAACAACAAAAATTAAATTAATTTATTATTATAAATAACTAAGGATGGAATGGAGATGTAATATATTAACTTTTAAATATTTTTTCTAGAAAAACAAAAATAAGAGATTTAAACCATAAATATTGTTCACCACTGCAATTTTAACAATCATCCATCTTTCCTTCCAAGAAAAAAACATTTTATTGATTTAGTTTAGTTATTATTGTATTTAATATAACATAAAAATATTAGATCAAATATGTTTAAACATTTTATTTTAATAAATTAATTGAATAATTTTAATTGTAAAAGATAATATTATTTTCTTCACGAGAAATAATGTCATCAACGCAAGCAAATAGGTCCACACATGGGAACTCCTTTCACTCAAACTTGCATGCATCATATGGTCTGAGAGGTAATATTTGGCACATAATACTCTAGCAACAAGAAGTTATGGCTCCTTGATAGGACGCCACGCTTATTTGGCAATTAAGATCATATTAAAATATTTAAGACTACAAAACTTCAACCCCTACACAGTGTAGATGCACATCGTGTGCCATGCTGCTAAGGGTCATCTCCGCTCAGAAGTCTTCTCTGACCACCAAAATCAACGCATCAAGGCAAACATGTCATTGAGCGCACAATTAGACAACAAATAACATGTTCCGGAAATATATGTGAATATATAACAACAAACAACAATTAGACGACAACTAATGTAATATTTTCATTAGTGATTTAAGGAATTTAAGTTGATCAATGATTGCTCATATGTGAATATTTTTGTTAGTTTGACAATGAGAATGATACGAATAATTAAAGTCGGATAAAAATACAAAACGAAAACAGATATTAGGAAAATGGGTTAATATGTAAAAAGAATAGGAAGATGAGATAAGCTAATATGTTTATATATCGTCACATCATATATACTAATACAATATAAATTGGTGTGTGGTAATGTTAGAAGAAAGCGCGTAGGGCAGAAAGGCAAGCCAAAGTCTATTGAAAATGACATCACTTCATTTTTTTATTGTTTATTAATAAAATGCAAGTTCTATGTTTTTATTTGAACCGTCTTTGATTTTAACTACCAACGAACTTTAGTTGTATTTTGGGGTCAACAGTTTTTTCATGCTGCCATTTGGGGAAATTAACATTTTGAGTGAAAGTACAATTTATTTTTTTAAGGTAAACTACATTGATTATTTTTATCTGTTTTATTTTAGTCATGTATTAAGAAAATATCATTTTGATTATTTATATTATTAACTATATTTTAATCATTGAACCATTAATTTCCGATAATTTGATGACAAAACATATTAATAAAAATGATTGAATTTTAATTTAACTCATGACTTTTAGACGAAATATTAATTTAACTCTAAAATTTAAATAAAATACTAATTTAACCATTATATTTTATATTAAATATTAATTTAATCCCTAGATCCAATTAATGTTATCACTGATGAGTGTTGTTGGTTACTATCATTTCCCATTACTGCTCACCATCGGCTGTCATTGTCAACGACCGTTAGACTTCAAATTTTTTGCTTCATTCCTCTTTGACATCTTCAATGCGAATTTTGTGTATGTTTTATCAAAAAAAATGTTTCAAATTCCATAAACTTAATCTAGAACCTTTCAAATTTATTAAAAAATAAATAAATCATATAAATCTATCTTATATTCCTTTAATAATAAGGGAAATAAAAAATCTTAATCTATATCGTAATACGAACATATTATGATATATGCATTTTAATAATAATTTGATTCTTATTTTAATTTACTTATTATTATTTTTATTATTATTGGTCTAATATATATATATAAAAGATCAACACATTTAAACAGTCAATATATTCTACAATAGATATGGATATACCAAAGTTTGGGCGTTTTCAATTCTAGTTTTTATTTTTATTTTATTATTATGTTGTCATTAGTCTTTATTCTTCTTTATCTTTATAACCAGCAACGTCACCAATTTTAGTGTTGGTCGCCGACCGTATGCATTCATTGTTTTTCGTTATTTTATTATGTTGTATCTTTTTTTCTTCTTAATTGTTCATTTTTAATAGCTCTATCTTTATAACACATTTTACTCTACATGTATGACATATTTCTTCTGCTTTTGGGGCTTTCAATCGTTTAATAATTATTTTTGTTTATCATTTTTCTCATGGTTGAATTTTACATCGCCACACTGATCAAGATGACACTCATTTGTTATTGTGTTGATATTTCCTACTTTTGACTCTCAAATTGAATTTTATATACATGATTTACGTTCATGGATAGTTTTCTCATGTCGTTTGATTCTGATTTGCGATTTGTCGATGATCTTTCAATAACTTGATCCCTTTTGTGGTTTATTTGCTGATAGTTTGATTTGTTCATATCTACCTTTTATTCGAGATTATTTGATTATGTTTTTAACTTTTTTCTTGTATGGTCATTGTGTGATCTTAACTACTAATGTCTTGTGTTAATGATTATAAGAAATAATTTTATTATGTATTTTAATTTATAGTTATGGTCATAAACTTTTGTTGTAATTTAATTTTTTTTAAATTAACGGTTTTTATATTGTAAAAAATATTAAATATCTTTTAATTTAAGAAGCGAGGGAAATAATATTCTACCCATCATTCAAACATTATTTTTTTTAAAACATACTGTTTTCTTAAAGAACACCCACTTTCACAAATTCAACACCTTAACATATTTTAAAATGTTCTTATTTTATTGTATTTAACAAATTGTTAAATATTTTTATTACTTTATTAATAATTATTAAACTCAAACAATATTTTAGTAGATTTCATTTTTCACTTGAGTGTGCCATAAGATTAGTATCGATAATTTTTTTGGGTAGAATTATGGTAGGTATTTGACCATAGGTACCCTCCAATTTTGTTTATAGGATTTGGATTTTTCATTGATTTGATTATTATTATTATTCTATGAAATAATAAAGTTTAACGGCTAAAGGAAGTTAATGAGACGTGTGCAAGTTATATGTAGGTTATCTAGATTTTTTTGATTAATTAATTCTACATTTCATGACTTTAATATTTTCTTTGCATTTATTGATAGTATAATTTTATTTGTATCTTGTACCATTGAGAAAAACTTATGAAAGATTGCCGAACATCACAACAACTGAGAGAAAACATTGTTTGACCAATAAGAAATTAGCAAGAATTTAGATTTTTATCTCAATTAATGATTTTTTCTTAAATATAAAATCTGATTTATTGAATTAAAAAAATGATTTGGTAATTAAGATACTCTGGTATAATTTAATAACACATCATGATTAATATGTGAAAAATAAAGATTTGTATAAATAATTTAATACTAATGCATCATGAATTTGGTTGTTATAAAAAGATAGGAAGATAAGTTAATGTGGTTATCTGTCGTCACATAAAAACGTGTGATCATATGTACCTAATACAATGTAAATTGGTGTGAGGTAATGCTAGATAGAAAGCGCGTAGTACAGAAAGGCAGGCCAAAGCCTATTGAAAATGGCATTATTTATTGTTTAATAATTCATTGCAAATTCTATGTTTATTTATTTATTTATTTGGACCGTCTCTGATGTTAACTGCCAACGAAGTTTAGTTGTGTTCCCGGGTCAAAATATCTAATTGCACATGCTTCGACCATGTGGTTTCATGCTGTCATTTGGGAAAATTAAAATTTTAAGTGCAAGTGCATATACTGATATAAATATTTCTTAAATAAACCCCTTAACTATTCAAAGTTTGAACATTTTTGGGGTCAATTTAAGAAAGGAGAAATGTAGGATGTTCAAGATTTTAATCATAAATTTGTGCCAACTATAGATCTTCAATAAATAAAAATTTACCACTCAACTGATTATTTGTTGGCAGTTGGAATCTGTCTGGTGAATCATAATTTTAGGTTTTTGAATTTGATTAATTATTGAAACATTTTAAATTTCTCGTTTGATTGGGTGGTAAAAGATTTGAATTATACAATTAGCAATACAATGTGCGAGTTTGTAAGTAAATATATGAAGTTATTGAAATCTCCTCTAAATATTATCTATGTTCGGTCCAAACCATACAGGGCTTTAATTAAGAATTTTTTAGACAAGGATTCACTCATTGTTTTAAATAAATTTAAATAATAATAAAAATATTATCTCCGTCCTTCCAAATTTGTCCCTTACTAGTTTTTTAAAAGTTAAAATTTGTTGTCCTCAGCTCTTGGTCTCTTTCGTCGTCATCCAACTCCTCCCAATATTAAATAATTTGAATGCACTCAAATCATGGCAGTCGCGTATTCATCGTCGACGGAGCTTCAACGAGTCATTATCGATTGTGTCAGCCAATGATTCTGTTGATTGAATTGTGTCTATCAAAGAGATGAGGGGACGAAGGCAACACACCAGAAAGTTCGACACACCGATGATTTCCAGGTTAACGTTCTGGCGCTAGAAAAACATTGATGAATCAACCGAGTATTTTGATGCTCATGTGCTCTTCTACTGCTGTGAAGATGAGAACAAGGTGACAAACTCATCAATGTTTCCAAGAAACCATTTAAATAATGACTCAACTTTAGGATATTAATG